CCCCCAAACTGGGATATGCATCTTACTATCCCATAATAGGTTTTGACCTAAATGAGGAAATGCACCCCACCCCTGTTGTGTTCTCTTTGTCATCCTTCAAGCTCGACGTATCCCACAAATACAAGTCTTAAAAATTCTGGAGACTCCCTAAGCCAGTCTAGAGCTAAGTCCTCGACTTAAACACACGTTCATTTAGTGTCTGAAGTTACAACGGCACCGTCAAAAGTGACTTATGACCGTTTCGTTAAAACTTACAACTGTTGCAGCATCGCTGTGGTCACACGATCAAAATTCAAACACTTGGCAACTGGCATGGACTTAACGACGGTTGCAGTGTCTCTTTTTGCAGCCTTCTGACAAGCAAAGTCACTGCGGTGATTCACTTAAGAACGGCGGCGAGGAGAGTTGCAAAACTCACTTCGAACAACTGCCTAGCTTAGCAACAGACCTTCTGGACTCAACTGTGGTCATCAAAAGACTACCCATATTTTGCTGTTGCTTGGGATGGGATGGGCAAAACAGGAAAAGGAAATCTGCTTTTAATGTGCTCTTCTTTGCTTAAAAGATTTCATGCGTTCTCACAGGCAGCCCCGGTTCCTTAACCCATCATGCATCCTCCACTGGGTTCTGAGCAGAAACGGCAAGGCAGAAAACTAAAACATTTAAGAATAAAAATGGCCCTTTTTACATTTTAGTTAAAAACTACCAACTCAAAACATTTTCCACCAGACTTTAAAAATGACCACATTGAGGAACGAGCCAATCCTCTAGATCAAGGACCTTGGCCGTTTTTTAAGACTTGTGGACTTCAACTCCCAGAGTTTCTCAGCCTTGCACGCTTGGCTAGGAAATTCTGGGAGTTGAAATCCACAAGTCTTAAAGTATCCAAGGTTGGATACCACCCCCCTCGGCTAGCTCTTAACCAGCCTACAATTTTAACACTTCTAGATGTCGAAAACTCACACACAAAAAACCCTGATGCTCAGATTTTAAAACACAGCCTGGGCTATTTTATTTTATTCTTTTTTTAAAAAAAACCACTCCTTCCATCCGGCCCTTTGCTAGAGGAAATCAGCACATCTGCTTTAAATGTATTATGCAAACCGTCTGCCTATCAGATTATTTTGCATAATTCCTACAGTTTGGAAGCTTGGGGTTATGAAAGAAAAAAAAAATCGGTTTTTTCCTTTGGAGGCAAGGGAGGAAAAGGGTTGAGAACTGCTAAGCAGGAAACAGTAAACCTAAACGGAGCTAAATGAGAGGATTGCTGAAAAATTGAACTTGCAGGATTTTTAAGTGCTCTAATTCCACTGGTGGCTGGACCTGAATATTGTGGACAAACAAGGAAGAGGTCTCTTTTTTAAGATTTAGGAAAATATTGTCTCTGCCCACCTGAAGACCTAAGATCTGTTGCCTGCAAACCAGATCTTATTTTTCCAGGTAAGCCAAGCCGCATCTCGACACATCTTTTTATGCACCGAAGTTTACCCACTTCCACATCTTCCTTGAAACGTTTAAGAAAAATATAACCTGGTTAAAATATTTTGTGCGTTCGCGTCAGGGATTGCCTGTTGTGCGTTGATGTGCCACCTGGACACGGGCAGAAAAAGGTTGTGGCCCATTCTAACTGGTAAAGCATAGAGAGAAAGGAAGATTAAGAGACTAACAGAGTTGGAAGGGGGGGTCACTGGAGGACTTCTAGTCCAACCCCACCCCCGCCGTTCAACCAGGTTATCGTATACAGGCAGGCCTCGACTTAGAACCATTTGTCAAGCGACTGTTCAACGGGACAACGGCACTGAAAAAGATGACTTACAACCAGTCCTCGCACTTACAACTGTTCAGCGTCCTCACAGTCACGAACGACATTTGAGCACTTGGCAACCAACATCTATTTCTGATGATGCGACTTTCTGAGCAAAATCATTGGGGGCCGGGGGGGGCCGGCAGGGGGAACGATACTTACTTAACGACTGCAACATTCACTTAACAACCGCAGGGATTCAACTATGACAAAAAAAAAGGTCATAAAATCAGACACAACTCATTTAAGGAGCAGCTTAGCGAGCTGCAGAAATTGTGGCGCCTGTTGTAACCATAGTAATGCAGTCGTGTCCCCCCCCCCCCGTCCCTGTCTCCCCCGGGGATTAAATGGACGAGGTGTCAACTAAAAAAATACTCCTTTGGCCTTTTGAGTTGCCATCGGAAAGGGAGCGAGGGAAAAGCAGCGCATTCTTTAAGTGCCTCAGATAATCACCTTGGCAGCTCAAAGTTGTCGGCGCACAAGAATATTACCGGAGAACATGATGGAGGACTCTTGGCTATGGAGGTGTCCCATTGGAGAATATACATCCAGTGGGTGGGGGGGGAAGAGCAGGGTCAAGGGGGAAAGGAATGATGTATTTTAGTGTCGGCTGCACCCAGCTAAAGCCAACATGGCCACTCCTAATAAATCAATTTTTTTTTTAACTCTGAGAGATGCGGTTAGAGACTTACGATTTGAATGAGAGTGGATTTGTTGGGAGCCCTGACACGAGGGAAAAACAGCCAGGAGAAAGAGGGGCCTCTCCCTGTTTCAATACGTTTTTAATGGCCGTGTTTGATTTTTAGCCTGGAAGCGCCCGAGAGACTTCCGTAGTAAGCCTGGGATGCTAAGAGTTAATAGTACAGGTAGTTCGCGATTTACAATCATTTAACCACAGTTCGAAGCTAGTTGACCTCAGGGAGAAAAAAGTGACTTACGACCTGTTCCCTGAAATTACAACTACTGCACCACTCTTGCGGTCATGCGATCACAATTTGCAACCTTCCAACAAGTAACGTCACCTAACAATTGCGGTCCGGTCACAATGACTCACATTACAACCGTACCGATTTTACGAATGGAAATTCCTCTCTCTGATACGGTTATAAGTCGAGGGCTACCAGCAACGGCAACTGGGGGGAGGGGTGGTGGTGAAATCTCAGAAAGAGCAGGCCGATGGCAAAAATTGGGAGTCCCGGGTAACCGCTAGACATGCAAAGATAATCGTGGGGGTTTCTATCCCGCCTTCAGGGCAGGCGAATGGACGCCAATCCGCAACACGCACACATCCTTCTCCGGTTCGCACCAACCCTCCAAACTAAACACAGCCTGAGCAGAAAACTAGAAGGCCGAGCAAACAGGATAGTTTCAATATGATTTTTTTTTTTAACCACCTGTGTCTTGGACTACAATTTCCAGCAGGCCCAGCTGGAATGGTGAAAGAAAAGGAGAGGGAGACCAGAGGTGGTATTCAACCGTTTCAGACCAGTTCTGGAGAACCGGTAGCGGAAATTTTGAATAGCTCGGAGAACCAGCAAACCCAGCCTCTGTCTGGCCCCACTAACCCCATCTATTCTCCGCCTCCCGAGTCTCAGCTGATTGGCTGGGTCTCCTTTGGTGGCCCTGCACAGGAGAACGGAGCTGGAAAGCAGGTCAGTGGAGTGGGGAGGGAAGGGGGATTTTGCAGTATATCCTTCCCCTGCCATGTCCACCAAGCCGTACCACGCCTACTAAGCCACGCCCACAGAACCAGTAGTAGTAAAAATGTTTGAATCCCACCACTGAGAGAGATTGATGCCCCACCAGGCTGGGAAGGTTCAGGACAACTGACTTAAGGACAACCTCATCCTTCTGGTCTTCCCGACCCTCACCCTACCAGCAAAGGGTCCTTGTTCACTCGTGGAAAGAGCCTTTGAAGACAGAGACACGTATTCAGCACATCATCAAATATCATGCAAAAAAAATAATAATAATAAAAATACAGGTAGTCCTCGACTCACAACGATTTGTTGAGTGGCCAAAGTTACAATGGCCCTGAAATAAGCGACTTCGGGCTGTTTTTCACACTTACGATGTCACAGCGCCTCCACGTTCACGCGATCAAAATTAAGGCGCTTGGCAACTGACCCAGATTTATGACGGTTGCACCATCCTGGGGTCATTTGATTTCCCCCTTTTTTTTTTGCGACCTTCGGACAAGCAATGGAGAAGCCAGATTCACTTAACAACCTTATTGTTGGGAAGAAGTGTAAATGATTCGCTTATCTGGCAAAAGAGGTCATAAAATAGGGCAAGGCTCACTTAACAAGTGTCTCGTTTTGCAATTGAAATGTTGGGCACAATTGGGTTCATAAGTCAAGGACTACCGGTACCCAGGACTTAAAAATTCCGGACTGCGATGGGTCGGGGAAAAGTAAAGGAGAACAGAATGAGATCCAAAAAAAAAGAGAGAGACATCTTCTCGTCACCCCTGCTGAGCCCACGTCTTACAGGCTATTACACCTGTCTTAAGAAGACATTAGGTGTGTCACAGGGAAGCGGGGAGCCAACGAACGCTTTACCTGCCTGATTGCTTTGCCAAAATACTTGGCTGGTCGGGGAGGTCCAGCTCGGTGGAGGTTGCCCAAGCCTGCCTTGGATTCATCCAAACATATACAGAAAGGATGGGCGGAGCTGATGGATGTTACCAACATCGGTAAAACGTGGGATGCTTTTGGAGTTCATAGTAAACTTTGGTCAAAGTTACGGCGTAGTCCTCTCGTTTTGTTTTCCCGAGTTTATCCTCCCTTTCCTTAAAATAAACCCTCCCCCAAAAAACCACCCCTAGAGAGAACATCGCAGGGAGGGGGGAAATTACGTGCCTAGCGCAGACCCATGACAACATCTGACCACAGAGCTTACAAGAAAAAGGGTCACCTGCGCGTCTTGCTTTCCCTTTCCGCTGCAATAAAGAAAGTCCCAATTTTGGGACAGAAAATCGTCCCGTGAGGTCTCCCAGGAGTGCTGCCAACCATCTTCACCAGGGGTCCTTTTCCCCAAAGGGGTGAAAGGGAGTGTGGGAGTGTGGGAGAGCCAGCCTGGGGAAGGACTGGAACCCCAGCAAGCCTCCGTGTCGGAGGAAAGCTGCCTGGCTTACGCCCGTCGTGGCCTTGGTGGCAAAGAAAACCCAAACGGTGCGCCTGGGAATTGCTCAGTTTCACCGGACGGCTTTGTGCTTGCCGCCGCAACAACCGCAGCGCTCACCGCAGGAGTAGCAGGCGTGAAGGGGTAGGTAGCAGCACATGCACGGGACCACCAAGGAGAGGGTGGCCAGAGCCAGCCAGCGGATGCAGAAGTGTGGGTGGCCAGTGTCGCAGGAACAAGGGTCCGAGTACTCCCCTTCCGAGTCTGACATGCAGTGGTAGAGCATGCTCTCGGCGCACCACATACAAGTGAACTGGTAGACACAGTGGCCGATGGGGTCCGGCGCATCCTGGCACTGTCCCCGCCCGTTTTCTTCATTGTTAAAGACATCCCGGCAGTAAACGCACCGCGAGGGCACCGTGTCCTCTTCCACGCCCATGATGGCTCCAGGGGGCGGCTGCGGAGACTGCTGTTGCTCCTTCATTGGCTTATGTTTCGTGGGGGAGGAGGCCCCATGGATCCGGCAGGAGGGCGAAGCCTTGGGGTCCTTGAGCCGCCCTTCGGCCCCAGGGGGAAAGCTGTACTCCTTCTCCCGGGGAGATCGGCTGCCCCGGCCGCCCTTCTCAAAGTGTACGCATAGGTCAATCTTCTCGGGGTCTGGCTGGTGCTTCTGAACCACGGCCCGCCGGTAGTCCTCGTAGCCTTTGGTGACCCAGGGACAAGGGGTGATGCTCTCCAGCTCCTCCTCATCTGGGAGAGTCAGCTGCTGCAAGGGCTCGGCTTGCACCTGTGGGCGTTGGAGAAGAAAAGGATGGAAGTCAAGCCCTGGGAACTGGAGGAGGAGGAGGAAAAAAGAGGGGAGGGGAGAGGAAAAAGGAGGAAAGAGGAGAAGGAGGAGAAGAGAGAGGGGAAGAAAGAGGAGAAGGAGGAGAAAGAGAAAGAAAGGAGAGGAGAGGGGAGGGGAGATTATTGTGACTGCGCACCGGTCCAGCTGAGCTTGCCCCTTGTGTTGAACTGAAAGGGAACTCTTCCGAAATGGGGGTGCGAATGAAGCAGGTGGAAGAGGACTCGCTGGTCACAATGGTGATGGGTTTGGGGAGCATCTCCTTCTGGCTATTTGAGGAAGACTCGCTATCTGTGCGCACCTAGAGAGAGAGAGAAGCCACAATGCAGAGGTTAGGCTGAGTCCCAGAGCAGGTCCCCATGGCTTTTCAATTGCCCCTAGCACAAGGTAGACTTGAGACCAAGCGAGGAACCAACTTTTACAGGTAGCCCTCGACCACAAGATACCTCAACTGGTTGTAAAGGCAAATTTGGTTGTCAAGTGCCTGAATTGTGATCACGTGACCAGGGTGGTGGTAGTACAATGGTTGTAAGTACCGTTATATATGAGTGATAATGTATTTAAATTTAGCAGCAGGAGCAGTGGGGTTGTGCAATGAGCCAGAACACACAGTTCTGGTTGATTGGTTGAAGAGGGCTGACTCCTGCGTGAGGCAATCTGCGCTGTGATTGGTTGCTGTGGATATAAAGGGGGAGGTTCCTTTTTTCCCGCCTTTTTCTTCTGTGGGCCCTTGTTTGCTGTGTGATTTACCTCATGATTATCCCATTTGCCAGATTATTTAGTTTGCTGTATATATCGATGTAAAATATATTTCTTTATTAAGTTTGTGTCGGCGTCTCTGAC